TAAGGAAGTGGAAAAAAGTGTGAAGTTAATTTTGGGACATCCATTTAAAGAAAGTGGGAAATTGTTTTTGGGACAGAGGGAGTATATATTTACATATAAGAAAGGATATGATTAGGCTATTAAAAATACTATTTCACCTCAATTATTATGTAACGTGTCTATCTGCCAGAGTTAGATAGCATTGCTCTATTTATGCCACGTAGCTTCACCTTTTGCATTTTTGTTATTTTAAAAAAAAATTAATTACAGAGAGAAATTATAAAAATTTGGCCTCCTAAATGTATATAGAGCTCGTTTGGTGACTCTGTTTTTCACCTTATGAGCCAACATTTTAAAAAAACACGTGACTTTTGATATATGTCGCGCGCTGAATTTTGTAATAATAAGTAAAAGTAAAATTGTAGTCACTTTTCTGAGATGATCATTTTATCTATTTTTCAATTAATTTTTTTCTATATTTTATTAATAAAATATACTTTTAATATAATTTTTTCATAAACCAGCAGAATCAGCTAACACAAATACTTCAGCAAAAAATTCATAAATTTCAGCAGTATTAACCAATTCAACCGATTTCAGTGTTACCAAACTGACTCATAGTCTTACTTTTAATAAAAATATAACATTATATTCTCATTATTAAAGTTTTATAAACCATATTCCTTCCTATTATAATGTTACTCGAAACTAAAAAATTAGGCAATGATGTGATAACCACATTGGGTGCTCAAATGTTAATAAATAAAACTTTTAAATTTAATTCAATTTCATTCATGTGTGCATTTCACAATATTCAGTCAGTTCAACGGTTTCAACAAAAACTTCATCAATTTCAATAGATTCAGCCATTTTATGTGTTACCAAATAGCCTCTAAATAACACTTTAAATGAAAAAGATGTTCAATGTATGATAGTATTGTCAATGTAAAATAGATCACTCGTTTTAAAATGTCACATGGATGAAGTTGCTCAAATGAGAGTCATACAAAACATGAATAGTACTCCCTCCGTTCCTAAATAAACTTCCAACTTTCCTTTTTCGTCCGTTCCAATTAAAACTTCCACTTTCCCTTTTTGATAAAGAATTTGTGGTTCACAACATTTCTTACACATTTCTCTCTCCTCTGCACAACTCTCCACCACACAATATCCACTATCTTAAACTTTGTGTCAAACCCATTTGGAAGTTAAAATGGGAATGGAGGTAGTAAGAAATATAAAGTCATACAATTCGCGGGGCCCAAGGTATAAACCCCCAAATTTCTTTATAGTGTTATAACTTTTTCATTTTTTGTTGTAATTTCTACAAACTATATATGAAAATTCATAAGTTTTATGACCTTTCATATGAGATCAATATTGCATATAGAAAAAAAACTGAAGGTGTATAAAGTAACCTGTTAATTTTCCAACCTCAGTACGCGCTATTCCTTACTAATTAAAGAAATGATTCCTAATATATGACTAAAATAGGGATATTGACTAAAAGTATAACTTATTAACTTTTAGTAACTATGATTATGTTTAAAATTATATCAAAGTGACTATAAAAGCTAAGTGTACTCATAGCCAAATTAATCAATTTTTATTTACAAATATCTATTGGATAGGTTCTTCCCTATAGTTACTTTGCTACAGAGTATAAAACTAAAATATAATTCCAACCACTATAAGTAAATACGTCACATTTTTATCCACTATACTTATTTGGGTCATATAGTTATCGTTTACTTCTTTACTTAATACGGAATGATCGATATTATGATTGAAAAATAGGAAGTTGTTTAATAAATCTTCAAAAGAAACTTTTATGTGCAAATATAAAAGTTGGGTTTATCAACCTTATCAGTCAATTTTTTTAAAGCTGACTACAAAAAATACTAGCCCTCATACAATAAAAAAATGCTTATATGCTCAAATTTTCATTTAAAACTACGTGTTTGGGGGATCCTATTTTTGGTTTTATCAACCTTATCAATCAATTTTTTCAGCATATACACAAATTTTTATTTTGCACACTGAATTTTACAATGATTAAAATAAATAAGGTTTGGGTTAGTTTTCTGTTTGAATTGGTTGAAGTTAGGGGGTGTTTGGAACTAATTCTGCTTCTGCTTCTTTTTTAAACTAGAAGCATAATCAAAATCAATTTTCAGAAGCTGGTCACCTCCAACTTCTAAAAAAACTGATTCTAGGAGTAAATTAGAGCACCATAATCACTTATGCACTTTCACCCAAACACTTCAACTTCTGCTTGTGCTCCCTGAACGAGTAGAAGCAGTTTTAAGAATCAAATCCAAACACCCAAACACTTTACTGCACATGACAATTTTAGCTACTTTTTCATATCAATTTTTGCAAATTTTAGTATATTTAGTCAAATCAGCGCTTTCATCTAGAAATTCATCAATTTCGGTATAGTTGGCCAATTTATGTGTTACCAAACTAACTCTAAATAACATTCTAATGAAAAAGATGTCTAATATATGATATTATTGTCATAGGATAACCCGCCTAACAATTGAGGGGGGAAAACGTGTCTCTCATATCTAATGTTTTTAGTTATAAGATAAGTAGGCTAACAATTGATCAGAGTAATTTTATCTCTCATATGTAGTGATTTTAGGTATAAGAAGATAAGCTTGCTAATAATTGAACGGGAAAATTTTCTCTCATATGTAGTGTTTCAAGATATAAAAAGATAAGTTTGTTAACAATTGCGGGATTATTGAGCAAGAACATTTTCTCTCTCATATTTAGTTCTTTTAGGTATTATATATAAAAGATAAGTTTACTAACAATTGATCGGGAAGACTTTATTTCTCTTATGTTGTTCTTTTAAGTATTCCTTATAAGATAAGTAGGCTCACAATTGATCGGAATAAATTTCCCTCTCACATGTAGTGCTTTTAGATATATGAAGATAAGAAGATAAGTTTGATGACAATTGAGCGGAAGAACTTTTTCTCACATATGTAGTTCTTTTAAGTATGATGATAATCCAGTTCAACTAACAATTGAGCGGGATAATTTTCTTTCTCATAAGTACTGCTTTTAGGTATAAGAAGAAGAAGAAGATACCCAGACTGGACCGAGCGGTTCAACCCAAAACCCGGCCATCTGATCCCTGAACCGATCTGATTGAGTGTAAACTCGCAAATATGCACAAAACCGTAATTAACCGCAACATAGCCTGTAGGTACTCCCCCGTCCCTATATTATATCTTCAAACTTTCCTTTTTCTTCTGTCCCAAAATTATCTCCTCTTTTCCATTTTGGTAAAGAATTTGTTGTTAATAGCAATTCTTATACATTTTATACATTTATCTCGGTTTTGCACAACTCTCCACCACACAATATGCACTATCTTAATTTGTGTGCCATGTGTACTTGAGGAGATAATATAGGGACAAAGCGAGTATAAGATAAGACGGTTAAGAATTTAGCAAGATAATTTTCTTTCTCATATGTTAGCACTAATTTAACTAATGAGTAGCAAGTTCTTATTTAACTAATACCATTAATTTTAATATTTATTGTATTCAATTAAATTTTTTACACTCACTTAGTAACTCCCTTTTTTTTAGAATAATATTTAATTTTAAAATTAACTTAATCATGAAAACTAATAAGTAGCAAATTCTAATGAGTGATGTCAGTTAATTTCCCCTAATATACTCTTCATTGAGTATTTATTATATTTATATGGGCTTATACTTTATGGTATTAGCTCATACACTATTATTTTTTGAAAATATAGAATCCTAAAAAGTTATTTTTATTTTAATATTTAATTAGATCATGAGTACAAATATATGCATCAACTGCTCTTTCCCGTGCGTATGCACGGGTATTATACTAGTTAAAGTAAAAAGAATTTAGGATTGGACATCAAAAGGCATCACAAAGCTTCATTTCCAAATGAGAATGATTTTGTTGAAGAGTGCAGAAGAATTACCGAAACTCCTAAAACATGGTCATTGATTTATGGCCTTTGACCCGCACGGGTAGCTCAGTTGGTTCAGTGTTGGGAAATTTGGACCAAGTGACCAAGGTTCGAAACCCGCAGCGGCCGTGTGGAGGTCACAGAACCTGAAATAAGGCTGGACCTCTGGTGCGCACGAGAAAAAGGCCTACCATCATTGGACCGACAGAGTCACCGTGATTAACATCCTCCCAAAAATCCTGTCGGGTCGGGGTATGGGGGGCTCCTGGGGTGGGAGATTCCACCTTTTGGACCAAGATTTATGGCCTTTGAAACACAAAGTCTAGGAAAATATACATTTCCGTTTCGGAAACAACTCTACAGAAAATCTTAAGCATACACTTACTTTAGGAGTGGACTCGGGCCGGTTCGGGCCCGGTTCGGGCCTGGGCCCGGCCGGGCCTCGGTTCAAGAAGGGGAGGCCCAGAACCGGCCCGAGTAAACCCCGGGTCCGGGCCGGGCCGGGCCGGGCCTCGGGTATTTTTTTTTTTTTTTTTGGGGCTTTTCCTAGTTGACCCCCCCACCCCTCCCCCTCACCCCCAAACCAACCCTAACCACCTCAAATGGCCCAAAATAACCAGCCCAACCCAAAAACTCAAAAAAAATTCAAAAAATAAATAAAATTGGCCCGGCCCGAACCGGCCGGGCCGGTTCACCTTTTGAAGGGCCCGAGCCCGAACCGAGAATCCACCGGGCCGGGTGGCCCGAACCGCCCAACGAACCGGTTCCCGGGCCGGTCCGGGCCCGCACAGTGGCGGGCCGGTCCGGTTCCGGGCCGGTTGGCCCGGCCCGAGTCCACCCCTAACTTACTTTCCCTACGTTTCTTACACTTCCGCGCAACAGTTTATAGCACAAAGCTCAGTTGAATAAAAAAAATTCCACCAATGTTCCATTGGTTCCTCCTGGGCTTTGGCATTGTTTCATTATACACCTAAAAGAACTTCGTATCAACGTTCCAAAGGCCATATTCGTATAAGTGTGCTAGAGGATACATGAATCTTTGAAAAGGCAAAGAAACCCAAAACAAACTGTAAGTTGTCTTTTTTTTATACCATAAACACAAATTTTGTGTCTAGAAAGCACAATACTTCAAAGTTCAAACTGTTACATACAACAATGCCAAGTCAGTAAGTGAATGCCTTGCTGTTTGCTACAAAAATATTCAATGAATTTGATCATTCCCATCTGGATGGTAGATAAAATGATCAAAACTATAATTTGGATGGTCTAAGCAATACCTTGTATTACTATGAACTCTCGGTTACATGTGTTCTCTACAGTCATGTACACTGCACAATTCAGAAGCAGCCAACAACATAAAACTCAATTTGAGTATCTGACTGCATTAGATTTCGTGTTAGCCTGCAAAGCACGATCTTTTGCAGAACAAGCAAGGGACTGCTCCCTCTGACTATTGATCAGAATTTGAAACTAATGGTATTGATTGAGAAGGATCAGTCTCCTCGGTGCTGGGTCGTGAAGCCTCCTTTTTCAACTTGTGATTATTGTATGCAGCGACCCCAGCGATAGCTGCAACACAACTTAAAGAGAATTCTTAGAACTGATATACTCAAGCGTTTTGTTCATTGCTAAACAGAATACAAACAAAAACATATAATGCTCTCCCTGTCAGTAATGCATGATAAGAAATTGCCCGTGCAAAATAAAATTTGATCATATAAATCATGAGAGATAGGCTTATATTTGTTTTCAGTCCTTGAAAATATAGGGCTTCTTGTTTTAAGTCCTTGCAAAATTATGATTTTGTTTATCATCCCTGTAATTTATCTTGTTATTCCTGTGGGTCCTTCACCGATCATAACAAGCTCTATTTTACAACACAACCCTGACTAACAGATGTCCTCTAATTCTTTGTCATGTAATTCAAAAATACGTAGTTTTATCTTTTAGAGCATTGTTAAAACCTATTTTAAAAATGTGAATGATTAATTTTACAATGTTTTAACTTCAATATTATCCTTCGCAAAATAATAAAAGGATTAATCCAAAAACTTCTAAATGGAGTGGTCTCCAAGTTAGAGATGGACTAAAAAGAAAAGTACATACTACAAGGATGAAAAACAAAACAAAAATTTGTAGAGATTTAAAACAAAATGTGTCATATTTGCAGGGACTAAATACGTATTTAAGCCTTAAAAATTGAGTTAATTTTGGCAAAATTGAAATTTTTACATCAAGAAAAAAATAGAATGATGTCAATGGGGCGGGAAAATCTGGACAGTAAATTCAGGCCAAAAGTGAAGTGAGCCTGGACGGGATTCTTATCAGCATGCCTGAATCAAATGCTCTCTCTCTCTCTCTCACTATATATACAGACAAACACATTAAAGGATAATGATATGTATAGGGAAATGGTAAGTGTTGGAGGAATGGTAGGATTATCTCAAAGTGAATAAGTGAGTGGGATAATATGAGAGTAAATTGAGATTTACCGTTCACTCAACATTTTCCTAACCCTCTCCAGCATACTTATCATTATGCATGTGTAATACCCACCACACGCATAGGTACAAAACACAAAGAAGAATCAAATGTAAAGTTTATTGAAAATAAATAACCATTACCAATAGCATAACCAAATATATTAATGAGTGTGAGTTTTGTATCTGCAAAAAGTAGAGCTGATAGTAGCACAACCACCCAATCTTTGACAACTCCAGCCACGCGAATGGTGAGGGCGCTTGTATGTGAGATCACAAGGAAAACTGAGAGATTGAGAGCAAAGGTACATAGAGAATTCAGGGTTAGAATAAAAGGTTGAAAACTCCATGTCTCTTGTGCCTCCATCTTTGGTTTCTCCAAGAATATCCATGGAACTAAAAGGCAAATAGCACTGGACCACCACAAAGAAGATTTTGTTATTAACACTTATAGAAGCTCTTGTAATGATAGCATATAACGGGAGCTTATAAAGTACTTCCTCCATTCTTTAATAATTGCGACATTTCCCTTTTTCGGCAGTTTCAAAAATTTGCAACATTCTATTTTTGGTTAAGAAAAAAATAGCCACAATGACTACAAGAACCCTACTCACAGCCATTTAATAGTCATTTAAGTTTATTTAATCAATTGCTATCCACCCAAATTGATCTTCTCACCTAAGTGACCTAACAAATGATTTTATCCGAAGCCACGCCCCCAGTAACCTCTTATCTCTCTCATCTTCTTCCACTTTTCTCTTGTGGTTATATTCTGTGTAAACCACACCCTGCACAACCTCTTTCTTGTTCTTCCACGTGAAGAACTACCATTTCCTTCTTTAATTTCTTTCCACTCGACATCTTCCTTTTTAGAAATATGGTTTTTGTTTTGTTTTTAAGCGGTATATGGAGATAAACCGGCATCAACAAAGATGCAAATTTGTTTGCTCCGGAAGCTTCCTTTTATGATCTGACTAGAGACAAGGCAAATTAAGTTGTTCCAAGTACTCATCGGCTAATTTAAGAGATATCAACAGGACTATATAAAAGGGAATTGAAGATGGAGAAAACCCTTATAGTTGATGAAGTTGGAACCCGACTGTGTCAATAAACCACTATCAAATTTTTGTAGGAAAAAGGGGCAAATAAGCCCACGTACTAACCAAAAAAGGTCAAATAAGCCCTTATATAGGAGGTTATGTCCGGCCGTCGTCATTTGGGGCGGTTCCTGGTGGAAATTTTTTATGCAATTTTTTTAGCATATTATTCATTAAGTCTATTTTACTCATACCAAATTTCAGCTAAAACTTCAACCTGAGGCATTCAAATGAATTCTTGAAGAAAACTGCGCAGTTAAAAAGCAGTTATCTTCAAGAATTTATTTGAATGCCTTCCCAATTGAATTGTTAGCTGAAATTTGGTATGAGTAAACTAGACTTAATGAATAAGATTCTCAAAACATTTCATAAAAATATTCCACCGGGAACTGACCCAAATGGTGACGGCCAGTCAAAGCCTCCTATATAAGGGTTTATTTGACCTTTTTGGTTAGTACATGGGCTAATATGCCCCTTTTTCCAATTTTTGTGTGGAGAGCTTCATTATACACTTGGCTCATTTGACTAGAAGAGATAAAAGAGAGGGAGCACCGTAGTCTGTAGATAACTAGATAGACTCTTGCAGAAAGAAAAATGTTAAAGGTAGTTAGAGTAGCCTGACATTGTTGCAATAATAATAGCAATTGAGGGTAGAATGGGAAGAAACAACACTTCTAAGTTTCTTAATTCCCATGCCATCTTGGGTGTTGCATTTAAAACCAAACAGAGGAAGTACTATCACAAAGTATTACTGGATACCTGCATGGGCTAACATAGTACATAACAGATATGGGGTTTAGCTTGAGGCTCTTCCGCTTTACCAGAATCTCCATGAATATAAGCCTCAAGGCTTCTCCAACAACACCGCCCATTTGATAGACTACTCCAATCCAGCTGATATTAATTTCACCATACGAAGCCACTAGTACACCAAAACTGATGACTGACATTATGAGAAGCATCCGGCAGCTCATCACTTCAAGTCCAGCTGCTACTCCAAGAATGAAAACTGCTACTGGCACTGCAGATAAATTATCCAGAATTGAGATTGTCAATTAGGCCCAATCCCATAGATATAAGAAATACCTTAACACATTCCAAGGGTGGTTAATTCTTACATACATAAAGCATAATTCTACTTAAGAGTTAAGAGATCATAATAAGACCACATCCCATAGATGTAAGAACACTTACTGATAGCCTTCAACATCTGAGCAAATGAAACAGAAATATACAGGTAGGCCGTGTTCCCAAGCCAAAGTGTCATAGCAAACATTGCACCAATTGGAATAACTGACCATATATATCTGCCAATGGAAAGATCAATTAATCCTAAGAAACAGGGGTTATAATATAACCAGATAAATACATATATTCTTTTCCATAACGGATTCATCCTAAGGGAAATAAAATGGATTTTACAATTTAAAAAAAAAAACAGAGAATAGTAGTCTATAAGTATGAACAGTGCATCATTTTTTAATACAAGGCAAGTAGGCAAAGAAAAGGCAGAAAATAATAGATCTAAGAAGACTAGACAAATGAAGCACATATTTTGGACTTCAATCTTTGGGGTAATTCAAGTACCACAGTTGATGCGCATATATGAGAAAGAAGTGTCATTTCTGTCCAAGTAGCTGTAAAATAAAAACATTATATTTGCCATCATTTATACAGTTGAGGGTACGCACATGTCCAGTGTCATTCCTGCCTCAACTTTCATAATCTGGAAAGAAAATGCAAACTAACATCACAGGTTGCATAAGTCACACATGAGAAACACCTGAAAATCATAGATTTAATGTTTACCTTGAAAACCTTTGTGAGCAGAAAGCATGCCACTGATGAAAAGACCATATGGAGCAGAGTCAGGGCAAGAGGATAAGGGAAGTTTATTTCTTTCGATGATAAAACCCACTACAATGACAAAAAAAATGCTCAGAGAAAAGCTAAGAGTAGATAGATGTGTCAAAGAAGTCTTGACGTCTTGTAATCAACTTTTTATGAAAGTCCTGAAGGAACCAAGCCGTGCGGCATGGTGAAGTCATTTTAAACTTAATTGACCTGAACATATTTTTTTGAGGGAGATTTCATTATTTGGAATTTTTTATGAACATTACAGGCTTACAGAGTTACAGCTACACAATTTGAGAACAGACAAAGTGTTAACTGTTAAACTATAAAAGCCTGCATTTAATCAAAGGAAATAAATAATTCAAAGTAATTTGGTGGCTCAAAATGACGGAATCAGAAAAGCATAATGATAATGTAGATAACTTTATTGTTCACAACAAAGATGCAAATCTTTACTTAACAGTCACAAATAAGGATCTTAGTAATTGTTACGTCATATTCAGGAGTATTAGGTTTTTGCAAGGGTTAAAGACACCAAATAAAAAACCATTCACGTGGCTTAAGGGAATCAAGCATAATGAGGAGAAGGAAAACATGAATCTAAGCATCCAGTGGCTGTCCAAAACAAAGCCTCTTTATCTAAAACCATACGGTACCATCATATATACACAAAGAACCAAACAATCAACACACACAATCCATAAGCACATGTTTCTGAAGGTGCTTATTTGAAAGCTCATGTTACTTGCAAAAAAGAATCTTTGATCACACAGACACACATAGTTTCCTTCACACTGACCCTAATTGTGTGATCGTGCATTTAACAGATTTATGTAAATCATACTACCTCCTTCCCGCTATGATTGTCCTGTTTTACCTTATCGGTCCGTCCCACTAAGATTGTCCCATACTAAATTTGGCAAAATTTGTGTGGCTGTAAATCATTCTTACTTTATTCTTACTTTATCAATTCAATATCAACCACATAAATCATTTTGTATTGATTTGCGTGTCAATCCCTCTTGTCCAGCGAGAAGGAGGGAGTATATGTTAACCTTTAAACAAATATAGCATGCTGAAGTAAATTTGTGTATGTCAAAGAAACAAGATTTTTAAAATTCCTCCTTTTCTGCTTTTGTCGTCCAAACGTAAGCAAGAGCTTCACAAAAATCCAAATCAACATCCTATCATAAAGACATCACATTTCTAGCTCAGAGTACAAAACAGAAGAAATTGGCATACTTCACCACGACCAAATCCATTGATCGTTCCTACTACCCGACAAATTTTCATTTCTAGCTCAGGGCGTCAGAGTACAAAACAGAAGAAATCACAACAAGAATGGAAAAAGCAAAGAAACAAGGAATAGCCTTAAATCCTGTACCAATCCAACATTTACGCGACAAAAGCACTCTATCTGTTCGTAAAAACAGGCATAACACTGTGAACGTAAAAAAGAGTAAAATGAGCGAGAAAGGGAACCTTGTTGAAGAAGATCTGGGCGCTGGAGAGAGCAATGTAGATGAGAATGTAGGCGTATGTTAGCAGCTCCTCTTTCGCGATGTTTCTTGGCGGATCCGCCATTGCCGATATGGCGCGTCGCAGAGGAGGACCCAGTCTGAGTTGTTGGAAGCACGGAGTTAGGTAGTGGGAGAATTGAGTGTGGAAGAGGAAAAGCGGCCCGTGAATGGGCGGCCGGTCAGAACCGCAGAGCTGGCCAATCAGCAGCCGGATACAACGCCTACTCTGCTTTTTGACGTCAAGAATCCCACCGGATAGCTCTCAGGTAATTTGTTTCTGACTTATGTCATACGTAGCCGTGGTAGCGGATAAAGATATATTCAGGTGAGGTACAGTTTTGTTTTGTCTTTCCAAGTATATCCTTAGTTTATCTCAAATCAAACAAAAAGTGGGTAAAAAGTAAGTGTAGTTGTGACTTTTTGGTTAAAAGTGGTTTGCTTTTGTAGAAATATGAACTTCTTTTTGGGACATCCATAAAAGGAAAGTGGGAACTTCTTTGGAAGGGAGATAGTACTTCAATAACAAAAAGTCATGTTCCTACAAAATTTGGAAGCATGTTTATTCTACTCAGTTTGTGATGTTACCCACCTTTTCAAGCAATATGATTAGCTATATTTAATATTTTTCAACGATAATGCAAAAATATTGAGAAAAGGGGCAAATAAGCCCTCGAACTAACAAAAAAAGTGCAAATCTTTTTTATAGAAGTTTCTGTCCAGTCGTCGTCATTTGAGGCAGATCCATGTGGAATGTTTTGATGAAATTTTTTGAACATCTTTTTTATCAAGTCCGGTTTACCCATACCAAATTTCGACTAAAAATTTAATCATGAAGGTAGTCAAATAAGGAGTAAATGTTTGAAGATAATTGTGCAGTTAAACATCGCAGTATATTTCAGAAAATCATTTGGTTGCCTTCCCGGTTGAATTTTTACCTGAAATTTGGTATGGGTAAACTAGACTTAATGAAGAAAATGCTCAAAAAAATTCATCAAAAAATTCCACCGGTAACCACCCCAAATGGCGATGGCCAGACAGAGTCTCTTATAAAAGGGATGATTTACACTTTTTTGGTTAGTTCGAGGGCTTATTTGCACTTTTCCCCAAAAGTATTTTATAATCTAACAATGGTGATCATATTTGTGTACTTTACCAAGGTTTTATTTTTATTTAGGAATTAACTCTATCATTGTCAACTTATAAATCCCCTCTTCATGATGTAATCATTCTGAATCGTTTCATTTTTGGTAGCTAAATTCTTCTTCTTCTCTGAGCTCTCATCTTGAGCATGACATTCAGAGTTTGACTTCTTTACATAAACAAATTTTTCTATTGAACATTTTTTACCTAGCGCCGCTTTCTCTAATCTTCCCCTCATTTTTTCTTTATCCTATCCAAATTCATTCATTTTTATTACACCTTTAAACTAATTAAATTTATAAATTTAATTATAATTGAAAATTTTGTATCACAAAATCAAAAAATTATAACACCAATACTTGATAAATAACAATCAACAATTTAGAATTAAACAATGAACTATGCATGAAATGATTTATAAACTAATCAAATAATCATATCAGACTAATCTACTTCTCAGTGGGTTTTTTATGAATCTTTGGGAGCATATTTTTGATCTAATGTAGATTGTATCTATAAAATTTTAGCTTAAAAATCAATCGGAGAGTCAGTTAAATAAATTATTGAAAAACGCACCACCATAATATGCATTAAAAACGCAGTGTTTTCAGTAATTTATTTAAATGACTTCTAGATTGAATTTTAAACTGAAGTTTTGTGGACATAATCTATACTTCACATAGAACATGCTCATAAACTTTCGTCAAATAAAATCACTCAGAAGCACTTCGAACGCTTTCACCCGAAGTATTGGCAGTTTAGGTCTGAAAAAATAGTCTACTCACATCAATTATAAAGAACTAATCATGGACCTAATTTTTTTTTTCATTTTTTGGGCCTATAGCCACCTCCCCCTCCCCCCTCCCCTCCCCCCCCCCCCCCCCCCTCCTCCCAAGGCTGCCCCTGACACTTAGTGCATAAAACTATTACGAAATAAAATAAGTTTAGCAAAATACATTTTTGTCGTGAATTTACAAATGCTTTTTATTTATGTGCCCCAAATTCAACCTACAAAGATATACTCCTTCCACCCTTAAAATAACTTCACAAGTTTTTAGGCAAAATTAAAAATAATGTTGACTTTCCAAATTTGCTCTTGCTCTTTATTAAATTGGAGGTTGGCCAAAAATAAAGGGAATGTGGTAAAGACTAAAGAAACAATAACATGGGGTAACACACATCTATACATCAAAATTGAAATTATTAGATATTCACAACTGTATGTATTACAAGAGTGGTTGTGAAGGACATCATACGTAATCGACAACTGGCAGCAATAAAGCAGAAGTAGCCGGATGCACAAAACATGACTATAATCATTCAGCAAGATAACGTCAGGCCTCACATTGATGTTAATGATGTAGATTTGGTAATGTATGCCACAGAAGATGGGTGGAATATCAACTGAGATGTTGACCATCTAATAGTCCAGAACTAAATGTCCTATATTTAGGGTTTTTAGGGTAGTTGAACTAAAGATCAGAAGGCACCAAAAAGTGTGGTTGATAAATGTAGTGATCACATCCTTTGAAGAACTTACACCCGCTACATTGAACAAGATGATAAGGTTTTCCTAAGCTATCAATATGCAATGGAGGACGTAGGGGTGACAGCGGGTCGGATTTATACCAGGTGAAGGCTCGTCCGTCGTCCACCCTTAATTTTTCATAGTCCACTCACCCATCCATCATCCATTAAAATCTACATCCACATCCAACCCATCCATCATGAGCGGGTTATCGGGTGGATCGGGTGAGTAACGGGTGAATATAAATGGTCAACCTTGAAAGACAAAATAAATAAAATTTAAAGAGAAATCATGACAAAAATTAAGAATTCATTGAAAAATAAATACAAAAACATGAGCGATTAAGTATATTACAATCATTAATTCAATGTCAATGATAAAGAAAGAACTAATTGTCAAACAAAATAGACATAAAATATTTTCAAGTTGTCAATTCTACATTTCTGCATCAACATAAAACTATTTTTGCAGTTCAATTGCCACTTCTTGAAACTCTCCAATTGTCTTTACTGCCCGATGATTAGGGGATTTAGGGCTAACGGGATTAGGGTTGGGCTCCTATTTTAGTTATTACAATGTTACTCCATAGTTATGTAGTATCTGTTAATATATTAATATTAATCATCATTATCATTATTATTATTATTATATATTATTAAATAGATATTATTATTATATATTTATAAGCGGGTCAGCGGATGCGGGTGGATGGAGCGGGTGACAGATCGGGTGATGGGTTGGATGAGCGTTCATCCACACCCGATCCAACCCATCTTTCAATCCACCTGTCATCCATTTTTCATCCATATTTCTTCGGGTTTTCGTCCATATTTTCGATTCGGGTTGACCGGATATCCGCGGGTGCGGGTGATATTGCCAGCCCTAGGAGGAAGTGCTCAAGCATGATGGTGACAACAACTTCAAACTCAGGTTGCAAATGTTGGGGTTGTTACCCAATTATGTGCACATTTGTCTAGAACTGTATCAAACAAAAAGGACAGGCTAAGTTTGACTGCACATTTGGCAACTACCACATCACAGCCTTTAACTCAAGACTATTAGTTCATAGGTGAAGATGTATATCATCATCACATATGAACTTTCAGGTTGTAGGACACACAACTTTTTTGTTTATAGTGCACTTATTTTTGCTGGTATTTACTTGTGCACTTTTTTGTATGCACTTCTAGGTGGTAGATAGTACATTATTGTACTGATTAACCCAGTGTGTGTGTGTGTGTGTATATATATATATGTATACACACACACACACACACTGGGTTAATCAGTACACTAATGTACTATCTACCACCTAGAAATGACTAAAGATGATATGAGCTTATTTGGCTAGCATAATGTTTGAACATTGTGTGGTAGTTACCAAAATGCATTTGGCTTGCAAAAATAAACATTTAACAAGATTTTCCTTACAAATGAGTTTACAAATACTAATGTCATCAAATTGTAGTGCTGATGTCATCATTGCATCATAATATCCCAAATTTAAAAAAAACTTGTATAACTTTTTTATTTGTTCTTCAAATTTTTCAAAATATATATCAAAATTCATAAAATTTTAAGATCTTTCATATGACACCAATATGTAATATATAAAAGGAAACAAAAATTCTTAAGTTTTAACTGTTGAAGTTCTCTTCAATCTAAAAAGCGATGAAACACAAATTTTTAATTTGTGGAGTCTTCACAAATAACTGAATATTTTATAATCGAACTTTACTTGAACTAAGTTCATTTTTTGTTAACCGAAAAGCATTAAAAAATTAATGAAATTTATTTATTTTTACATCGAAATGTGTATTTTTTATTTCATAATTATTCAGGGAAAAATTAAAAGAAAAAAATTACTTATAATAATTTAATTAATTTTTTATTAAATTGATATGGAAAAAATGTGCAGAGTGTATTTTATTGACGGGGCTGGAATGCAGAGAAATAGGAGTCAAAACACTATTTTCATATGGACGGAGTCCATTTTATCCAATGCATGTTCCTATTTTCACCCTTCATACTACGTATTAATTTATCTACAACCTATTTATAATAAATTCTTAATTAGTTACTGCACATGCATTTTCGCTCTCCATTTAAGTACGTACGTATATCACTTCATCATATTCCCAATTCAGTGAGTCTCGCATAATAGAGACTTAAAGTATTGGTTATTCATAATCTACAACCACATATGCTCATTATTTGACCAGCCAACACAGATTGAAAAACTCATTATACTCCGTATATTGTTTGAAATCCTGGCCAAATAGCTTATACAACACATACATATTTTTGAGCGCAACCCTTTGAGCCCTGATTTCATTTGGCCGCAATCTCTAATCCGCTACTACGTTACGTACTCTATAAAAAATCCAAAAGTAAAGTAGATCCTTTTCCTTAAGAGTCCATGCATAAGTCAGGCTTGTCGACCCTAATTTTTTGAGCTCTCAATGTATAAGGAATAGAAACCCAAAAATTAACAACAAAAATGAAGTCCACAGCTAGTAAAAAAGCAGTCAAATACTTCGTATATGAGAGTCAAATTTTTAAAATGCCAATTATTTAGAAGCTCCATCCACGGGTAAATTTGGTTTCCTCTATGCACGGTTCGATTATATTT